CTCTGTCGCCCTCTTCTGGTTGTTATGGACTTGACATTTACTGAGGGAGTCCTCTCTAACTCTATACTTAGGGCTGTGCTTCTGTCAGAGGATCAACTAGAGTTACAGTGAAAACAGTTTGCTTATTTGAAAAGAGTCAGGAATCTAGACCAGTGCTATTCAGGTGGTATTCAGGATTACTGGTTCATGAAGATATAAGTACAGAAATCTTACAGCAATTCAATATTACCATGGCGTCAAAGCACAGTGAACTCGTCTCATTGGATAGGATTAGGAGCAAAAGTATCAGCCCATAATAGCTTGGAAATGAAAAGAAAACCTATTCAACACCAATAGTTTCAGCAGCACTATTGATGAATACTTCTTTACGTGGAACTGTAATTTTCCTCCAGATGATTGCACACATGAGCTAACTCCTCAATGCACTCAGGATTACTATAATATCAATTAATTTGGTTTGTAAAGGAGCTTTATGGGAGATTTGTTGAACTACAAAGGGTAATGACACAGAGTTTTAAAAAATATAATCCTTTTATCCATTCATCCTTTTAGTAGGTCTTTGATTCAATAAATATTTATTGTTGGCCTATTATGTGCCTAGTAAGTAAGAGAAACCCAACCTCTGGCCATATAAAGTAATCAGGCAACAGCAACATGGTACACGTAAGCTCACAGTGTGGGCAGTACAAGCTGCTCTGAGGGCACCCAGGGAAGGGAAGAGTCTCGAAGCCTAAAAATAAATAGCTCTTTAAAAGCTAATAATCCACAAACTTTGGAAAAATACTTGAGTCACTCCTTACATATTATGACACAAATATTTTTGAGTACTTATACTGTGCTCATGCTGAACCCTGTACTGTTTTACATGTGGCAGATATATTTGTGGATGAAATAGACACAGACTCTGCCATATGGGGCTATGATCTAGTTCAAGGGTACCAATAAATGGACAAGGGGATGTCCAGTGTTTATGAGCTCCAGGAGGAAACAAAGCAGGGTGCTGTGGTGAGTGTGGATGAAAACATTGCAGAGGCTCCTGGGAGGAGACCTCTCTGAGGAGGCACTGAGATAGAGGACATCCTGAGAATAGGGGTGGGGAGCTGCACGAAGCAAGTGTGAAGGCTTTAAATCAAGGATAAGCTTGGCCCAGCTGGGCATGGCATGTTCATGGGTACAATCTTAGTCCATTTTGTGCTCCTATAATGCTACATTACAGACCAGGTATTGTATAAACAAATTTATTTTCTCATAGTCTGGAGGCTTGGAATTCCAAAATTTCCACCAGGTTTGTTGTCTGGTAGCACCCATTCTCCACTTTCAGGATGATATCTTGCATCCTCCCGAAGGGAAGTTGTTCTTTACCTGGCAGGACTGAAAATCCCTTTAAATAAGAGCACTAAATACCACCTCTGAAAGGTCTCCCTTCTTAATACTGTTACTATGGCAATGAAATTTCAACATGAGTTTTGGAGGCCACCAACATCCAACCCAAGCAGTCGTCATGTTTAGGGATTCATGTTTCCCCCTAGAATGTCAGCATGGCTGAAGTGGAGTAAGCAAGAAGGAGAGGTCAGAAGGGCCCAGAGCGGTCAAAGTCATGGTGAGAAGCAGTACAAAGGACAGTACGGGGAGATTGTAGGTCACAGAGTAGCATGATATGATGTATGTTAAAAAAAAAATCCCGTGGGTTCTTATGGATGCAGAGGAGCGAGTGTGGGAGCAGAAAGATGCGAGGGGCTGGGGCAGTGATCCAGCGAGAGGGATGGTGGAGTAGGGCAACACCAGCTGGAGCAGAGAGCAGGGAAAGCAGACAGGTTTTTGCTGGTGGCTTGAATGTGGGAAGCAGAGGAAAGAGGGGTCAAGAATGGTCCCTGGGCTTTTGTATCCATAACAGGACAGTGGCAGTTATTGTGATGAGGAGTATTGGGGTATTCAGTACTGGGAGTAGGGGGTTGAGAATTCTGTTTGGAGCATGTTGAATTTGGAATGCCCATTAGACATCCAGATGGCGACTTTGCAGATGCAGGCAGTCAGGATAGCATACACATTTAGACTTATGAGTGGTATTTACAACCAGAGATCACCTAGGCAGTGATGGCAAACCTTCTAGAGCTCTCAGTGATACAGCCTGCTGCGGCACATTTGCCATAGGTTTGCCACCACTGCCCTGGAGAGAGGAAGAAGAGAAGAAAATAGAGAAGAGAGAAGAGAAGAGAAGGAAGGGTAAAGGGCTGAACCACCTGCCAGGAGTTAAGGTTGTGCTAGCATCTGGAGAGGCCAAGCACCCAAGGAGGGAAATTTGACTCAGTATTTGAGAGCTACTGCAGTATATGCTTTGTTCAGTTTGGATCTGCAGCAAAGATCCTTATTCCTCAATCATCCATAGGTCTTTCACATGAGGTTGGTGATCCTAGTGGATAATGTGAGTACTCTGCCCAGAGCTTCCCTGATCCTTATGACTGTGTGCCTGGGGTGTTGGTTTCACTGTTCTTTTCCTCCTTACAGATGGTTCATGTGTCCCTCCACTGTGTTCCACCTATAGGAGTCTCTCTACCTCTAGACAGGCACACTAGACCCTATCCCAAAGGTTCTTAACCAATAGCTGAAGGCTGGAGGACTATGAGAGCTGGCTTCCTTTCCTCTCAGGCATAGTTTACTCTCCAGAGCTCCTTTGTAGGGTCAGACAGAAGCTGTCTTCTGAAGTTGCCTCAGTAGCACTTTTCCTGACCTTTATAGGACCTTTATAATCTCCTTAACACATCATCTGGCTCTGGGCAACTTAAGATATACACTGCCCTTCCCTCCTCCATTCTCCACTCAGATGGTACATATTAGTATAGTGTAATCCTTTTCTCTTAAATTTAGAAATGAGATTCAATTAAATATTTTAGAACATTCTCAACTTCTTAAAGCTTTTCAGAATAGTTTCCAATTTATCAGCCATCAAGTGAAAAGGATTTTGTTTTTCATCCTAAAGGCAATTATCTGTGATTCCGGTAAATTTGTTTGCTGTTTAATTAAGTGAAACATTTCTAGAGAGTTATCTATATTCACTCTTCCAGCTCATGAGTACATGCAAATCTCAAACTGATAAAACTGTTAGATGATTATTTCCTGCTCACATATCCAGTCAATAAAATGGTGGGGATTAATAAGGGAATAAGATAGGCTATTTAGAGGGTTTGACAGTGTTAAATATGTTCTCCTGGCAAGAGGCTGTGAGCTTTTGCACACTTCCACATGCCCTCCCTCCTGTGGCTTCTACTCCCACCTTCCAAAACAGTCCAAAGGTATGGCGTGAGCAGGAAGTGAGCCCAACAGCAAGCCTGTGTGGAATTTTCCTTCTGTCGTTGAGAAAAGAGCAAAATTGTCTTCTATTCATTTTGACTAGATGAGCATTTATTTTGAAACTTTGAGGAATATTTTAAAATCTATACATAGAAAGCCGTTGGGTCTTGTGCTTTTAAGCACTAATTTACAGATCCTCCACTCTTCTATGTTTGACCCTCTCCCCCTCCTTCCTTTCTTTTCTTCTAGAGCAAAGCAGAGGCTAAATCAAATTTCTGCTTGAAAAACTCACAAAATGTGTTTTAAAGTTCATAAATGAGTTTTTGTTTGCTTGTGCTGAAATTGCATACCTGTGATAGCCTCCTTTAACACTGAACAGCTTTCAGCCTGAGATCAGGCGTAGTAATCGTTCAGTAGTTCAATAAATAATTGTTGAGTGAGTGAGTCTGTGGTGTTAGTCCTAGGTACAATCCTGAGGTATTAATATTGTGCCTTTTCTTGTTGTGTACAATGATGAAAGCTTTAGTCATCAAAAATTATTGGAAAAGTAATTTAAAATTCTTAAATCATCTTTGTGCACATCACAAAATTAAATTTCTCTATACGTTATTGCAGTGAAGCACCCATTGACACATTCCAGTTCTTCTAAATACCTCTGGAACACTTGGATTTTGACCATAGATTTCACAATACATTAAAACATACAATTATAAGACCATAATGCATGCTTTCTCATGCCTGAACTAAACCTTGAAGTCAAACTGTGGCATTGAAACACAATTAGAAAAACATTTTGTACATCCAATTGAATGAAACCAGTATTATATTTAACTTTGTATTTGCTGTTATTGAAAGTATGGGTGGTATGTTTAACTTTCTTTTTGTTTCTGTTCTGGAAATGGAAACAATTGACTAGAAAGTGATTAAGGGGAAGAAAGCAAACAAATTTCTCTGTGTGTATTGGTGTACTCAGATCTTTTGAGTGGGGATGAGAAATAGAATTAAAATGAATACTAGGAAAGTTGACTGTGATAATACTAAAATGCTTAACTGTGAAGACTGAAATGCCTATTGGGCTGTATTTCCAGGCTGGCCAGTCCCCCTGCTAGATACTTGGTGCCATGCCAGTGGCTTAAGTTTACCAGAAGAATTTATGACTGGGGTTGAACCAGCTTTAGGAGTTCTGGAAATATGGCAACATTTGGTGCTAGTCTTGACACTGAGTGCTTATTCATGAGTAGGTGGGGCTTTCTCTGAAACTCTTTGGATCAAACCCATGATAAGATAGGAACCCTTTGAATTGCCAGCATATAATTAGGAATATTTGTTGAGAAAGATGTGTGGGATAGCATAAAAGTGTCACTTGAACTCCAGAAATTTGTTTATAGACATATATTTTGAAAACCCAAAATGAAGTCACTTTTTCTGCAATGTAGAACATATTTTTTCAGGGCAGTGGGTCAGAATATTTGAAATCAAGAATGACCCCGGAAACACAGGCTCATGGGCTACTATAAGTTATAACCTAAATGTATTCAAAGCCCTTTGAAGATAAACAGTGGCATTCATGTTAACACTTTTATTGTTTTATAGAAATGAATATTATTTTTTTCTGTGTTTAAATAGGTGTTATAAGTGGATTTTGTCTGTATTAAGAATATTTTGGCTTACATAGCCCAGCTGAAGTTTTCCCCTCTGTTTTACTTTGAAAGGAATGCAATGTTAATTCTGGGGCATTGATGTTTTACAATGCCTGATCAAGACAAAAAGCTGAAGACCACAGAAAAACTCACTGATAAAAAGCAGCAAGGAATCACCACCAGGTAACCCTTCCCTGAGTCTTTTCTAATTATTAACGGAGGCAGTGGCTGTTGAACAGATTTAATGGCTTTTTGAGAAACTGAGCATGTAGACTCCTGACAACTGCTACCCTGAGTTGCCGTGTTTACTGAAATGTTTGATAATTTCTACAGTTCTAGGGAAAAGGGTTAGTGTGTATACATTTGACTCTGAAAGTGGGCCTCAAAGTAGCAATGGCACCTGTGGGTAAAATGCCCTTGTTCACCTGTGGGTTGACATTTTCTTTTTCTCTTTCCTAGGGACTATTCAGATCTTAAAAGACTCCGGTGTCTTTTGAACGTTCAATCAAGCAAACAGCAGGTAGTGTTTTCAAGGAATGTGTATATGTTAATAAAAGAGAAATCCCATGTTTCTGAAAGGATCCACTTAACATCTTTACAAACATGGCAAATCTAGCTTTGCTCTCTTGCTTCTTCTGGCTATTTCTCTCACACTTGGGTAGGGCCCGGCCAAGACTTGGCCTCCATAGCCTTCTCTTCTTGTGCAAGTGCCCCACTTTATCCCATGCTTGTCACCAAGTGTCCCAATTACCAAAGCTTTCACTCTACTGTCTATAGACAGAAAACTGTGTTCTTTGATGCTCACATTTGCCTCTTCAAAGCTTGAGGGAAATTGGTTTTCCTGAGGCACTGTTGACCACATTTCCGTCCTTTTCCGCCCACCCTCCTAATCCTTCCCCTGCTGCAGTACCACTCTTGAGGCTTGCTGCAAATTGTACCTCACCAAACAGAGGGGGCAGGATTGAGTTTTAACTATTTTTAAATAGCATTTAAATATTTTTTATTAGCCAGGGAAAGTATGGTTCTGTTGCTTTCATTTATGTTTAAAATTTTCTTTTTGGCATTGCTCTTGTACAGTTTTGGAAAGTCATGAGATCAGAGGCCATTCATGGAAATTTGGGAACACAGAGCAATGCTATTAATAATGACAAGTAGTGAACATTTATTTAGCACTATCAAGTAGTAAGTGGAGGGATGGAACTGGAATTCTGGATGTCTGCTTTCAAAGTCTACTATGTTATACTTGTTTATGTAAATTTGTTTAAAGAGCTCTTGTGGTATAATCCAGTCCTGATTTTTTTGTTGTTGTTATAGTAACCAAATTTACCAAAGTACTATACTATTTTTACTCATTTATTTATTCTGGAGAATGACTTTCTACTGATTTGATGGCATATGAAGGCTAAATACTGATAATTCACATTTAAGGAAATACTGTGTACCTGATGCTTTACCTGCATTGCTCTGCTTACTTGTTACAACTTTTATGAGGGATGAGTAGGAGCCATTTTTTAATATTATTAATCCTCTAGCCTCAGGTTATCTTGCCTTCTTGTCTACCTGTTTTAGCAGTCACTTTTCCCTTTGTCTGTCTTTATACTAAAGACAAACAATTGCTAAACAGTTGCTGAAACAATCTATCTCCCTAGCTCCCTTCTCACAAACCTTCATGAATGATTTTCCTTATCAAGTCCATTCTTTCTTGGAGAGGTAAATGAAATGACTCAGCCTACAGTTTTGATTGTAGTTCCTATTTTTTTTCCCACTGTACAATGTACATAATGCCAAAGACTTCTGCTTTTTGATTTCTATTCTCTTTTCCAAGATTGCTTTCCTATAAATTCTACCTGTTACCAAGACCCAAACCTAATGATACCATTGCTACGTACTCTCCATTCTACAATGATCTCTCACTCTTCCCAACGTATCTTCTTACACCATTGTAATGTTATTTTTCTCCCTTGCTTTTCAAAGTCCTTTGTACATGCCTTACTTCCTCAGGAGATCATATATTTCCTAGTGCAAGCAACTTTGACTTTTAGCCTCTGGTTCACAGTATCCTCTCTTCAGCAAGTCTTTGGTCAGTTTTTCTTAAATTGCATCATGGCTTGAGAATTGAATCACCATGGTGTATGCACAAATCTCTGGCCTGGGCAAAAGAGATGGCATTTAGTTTTCTTTTTTTTGGTACTGGGAATTGAACTCGGGTTCTTACGCTTGTGAGGCAGGTGGCAGAACCACTGAGCTAAATCCCTGGTCCTGTTGTTTTTTTAGCTCAACGTTTTCAATTTTGAAGTTTATCCTGACTAGATTTATTTTGTCCCCTTTCAACACCACTTCTGTGCTCATTTAAAGTTAATTTAATGATTTTTCTCTCTTCTAACCAACTTTAGAATTTGCAGTCTGTTGTCTGACAAGCTCCCATGGCATATCTTTGTTAACTATTTCACATGTACGAGAATCATATTTGTAATGCCTAAATTATTCAGAAGGTAGATCGAAGACAAAAATGCAAATAACTGTCCTCAATTAGTTGAAAGTCCCCAAAATTTATTCTTATTTTTGTTCATAAAGCTTTAATATATTTGTAATTCTGAAATAAAGTTATTCTAAATACCCTACCCTATTCTCCTTTCATAAAATATCGTGGAGACATTTATAGGGGGAGGATGATTCTGGAGAGAGTAACTCAAGAATTTATTTATACCTTGCTTGTTCCAGCAGGACTCTAAAGAGTAAGGATATATAAACTAGGACAGGTATACATTAAAAGTGAAGCCAAAGATAAAAAGAAAACAAGGGCCGGGGGCAAAGTAGAGTTGGGGTCAGGCAGAAATGTCCAACAAAATACACAAGGGGGTCAGTCACACATTTGGTTCTGGAATTGAAAAGGAATTTGTGATTAAGGACTACTTAACTGACTCTGTGCTCTAACAAGATGTGGCTTGTGTTTTTGCAAATGGGAAGGTGGCCAATTACTGGTTTTAGAGGAAATCTCCTATGTTGGTTTAGGCCAAGTTGCAGAGAACTGAATGTCCTTCCTTTGAGTCTCTAATGAGCCAAAACCCTCTTCTCTCATTGTTGCTGGGTGTTGCTCTACTTTTACTCTTTGGCCCAACTGTGTGCTTGTGTCTCTCATATCTTGCCTCAGCACATTAGAATCTGATGTGGGACATTCTCAGAGTCTGGCAGACCTGGGAATAGAGATACACTGAGGCAGAGAGGATCCATTCAATGTAACAGGGTTAGCGTAGTGACAACCAATTAAACCAAATAATTCAAGAAAAAGAACTGTCCTACTGTTGTCAAAGCAAAGTGAAATTACAAATCTGGTTGGAGATTTCATCTGAGGTTTTCACAAATCTTGAGATACTCTGCCTAGAGCTCTAAGTCAGATTTTTTCCCCCTGTACTTGAGAGACACAGGAAACAAGAAATGTGTTTATAATAATAATAATAAAAAAAGATGGGAGAAAGAAAATTAACTGCCTTGAAATTAAAGAGGTTTTGGTTGATGTGGTGGGAAAGAATCTATGATTGTGGAGGTTTTTATGCTCTGAGGAATGATGGATAGGCCCAGGTAATAATGGTACAGGGCAAAACATGGTTCTGGGTAAACGGTGTAATGGATGTGTAAATTGTGAGGAGGAAGAGGAAGCCACTTTTGGCTTGAATGACAGAGACGGAGATGGGTTCTTGAAAAATGGACAGGTTTTCCATCCATGAAATTGATAGGAAAGGCATTCTAGGTGAAGTGAAGAAAATAATCAAATATCTGGAGGAAGGAAAATGACAAGCATTTAAGCACAAAGGTGACTGGACATTTCAATTGGAAGTGGTGATAAATAAAGGCAGAAGACACTATGTAGTGTTTGAAGGCCCACCTAAGGATTTTGTTCTGGATCTCATTAGATAGGGAATGTTGACATTTCTGAGCAGAAGTGATATAATCAAGCTTTTAGGAAGGCCCTGCATGATGCAGCTTTTGCTTCAATCTCAATTCTTCCCTTTCCATTCGTATTGTCCAAGCTGCAAGGTGCCCTTCAGTTTACAGAGCTTACATATTTCTTCTCTGCCTTTCACCCTGGATGACAATTTGCCTGGGACGCTGCTGACACCTCAGTGTATGGCCTACCTTCTCTCTACTTTCTGCCACAACAAACTCCTGATCACTAGTTCTGCAGCTTATTTCTTAAGCCTCTCTACTGTCTGCAACTCCCCTCCTCTGTGAGACTGCAGACACCTTGAAGGCAGAGAGACCAGGTTGTTCTATTTACTGTATGTCTTGCATCTCAAATGTCTGATGTCCCTTGTGTCTGCCACCAATGTGTTGAGCACTCATCTGGAGGCAGTTTACCAGATCAGTTTGTTAACTGAGGATAACGTGAGCAATCCTTTAGCAGCTTCACATTTGAGTATCTGCTCTATACCAGTCTCTGTGAGAGCTGCCAAGAACAGAAAAATAGATGTTTTGTCTTCAGCATGGCTGAATTCAAAGGGAGAAAGCTAATGTGTAAACCAGACATTGTATAATCGAGTTGTGCCGTTTTAAGTACTGTGAGAAAGGTGAGCGCTACAGGAAGGCTTGGGCAGCTGCTGGGGCTGAGCTGAGTGCTGCAAGGTGATGGGAGCTGCAGGCTGCACATGCTGATGCTGCAGAGGTCAGCCAGCCAGTGGGTCTGAGGCACTGGTGAGCCAAGAGAGAATACCTTGGGCTTTGAACTCACACTACTTTTGCCTGAAGATGACTGGTTGCATCAAGGCTCCATTGTTAAGTTTCTGGTCTTTGTGACTATAGATGCCAACTCTATCTTATTTTCTGAGTTGCCATGAGTTGGTTCTCAATACCAGCTACCTGCTCTGCCTCAAAAGCAACAGATTCTGGCTGTGGCAACTGTCTGCCCTCTTCTTTAGCAGTTTGTGTTTATTTTCTCAGTTCTGGCTGCCTTCTCTCTCGCAAACAGGGTTCTGGGAACATGTCTAACACAGGAAAATTTGCTTATTGTTGTGACTTCATATCTAATATCATTTAGGTTATTAGTTTAAACTTGGAAATCACCTAATGTGTAATGACAAATTTTGTTTCTTTAGCAAATTAATCTGTACAATGGGAATAATTACAAGGATTAAAAAATATTTATAAAACAGAATTATGCTTTATAAATAATAATTTACTTAACTTTAATAATAATGCAATATATTACTATTTCCATTTTAATGATGTACAAATGAATTCACAGAGAAATGAAGCAAATTTTCCAAGATCATGATGGATTTAAACCCACAGAATCTGAGAATTTGTTCTCTTAATCACTTAACATTGCTGCCACAAGCACCTATGTCCTGTTGTTCTGTGGGACTTATATATTGGCTGATTGAACAGTGATAGATATTTTTTACAGTATTGAGTGTTTATTATTAATATTTTGAAAATTCAACTGTGCCTTCCATATGATGGAGAAAGATTTTAATTTTTTTGTTAGTTATTAAATAATTTCCTTATTGTAATTCATTTATGGGACCTCAGGAATATTTGATAAGAAAATGTTTTCATTTTGATTTCTATCATATACCTAGGTGGAACAAGACACTAAGTACAACATATTATAGCTTTATTTTGTAATTATAGGGAATGGAATGATTTACTAAAAATTAGATCTTTTGTTATATTATACTTGACTTACTTCATCTATAATAATTATAGAACATCTTTCATTTGTACTTTGGAAAACACAAGGTATTTATCCACATCATACTTAAGTTTATGTGGTACCAGAAACAAATCTCAAGGCTTTCTCAATTATAAATAAATATTGCTTCATGGAACTATTTGAATACTGATAACTTGACAGTTTCTCATATGAGTAATTAACCGATTCATTTAATAAATGGAGGCATAGTCAAGTTGTAAATAATTTTAAAAACTTATTTTCCTTATGGTGAGCATTATATTTTAATGACTTTCATAAATAGTATTAAATAATTAGGATGTTCAGGCTGATAAATATGATAGAGTTTTATTTACCATTATACCCTGACATGTAGTGAGCTGAGCAGTGGTAAACTTGGGAAATGCTGTGGAACAGGTGAATGCAGTTAAGGCCTTTGACACTGTACTCAGGGTCCTGCCTGGATCTAGAAACTTAGTTGCACCTTTGAAACACAGGAGAATCTTCAAAAACATGATGCCCAAGCCTCACCTCAGACCTGGGGAAACAGCACTGAACAAAAATAAGCAAATTCCTGCTTGCATTGAGGTGACATTTTAATCAAGGGGGATTGGAAATATGTTAATAATTTGCAATACATAAATAACTATATGTACAAAACAAAATACGATATGACATGTGGTATTAAAAGTTATGAAGAAAAATTAGTGTAAGGAAGAGAAAGTAAGTAACTGCTTAACTCAAAGATGCTTAAATCTTTAAGAGCGTTGCGTTTATCATTGTGTTACCAGTGTGTGGGGGAATTCGTTCTATTCATCCTCCCCTCTGCCTCCCCCCATGTTGTTACTTTATACTGTGCTGAATTGTGATCCTCAAGTACTTTGGCTTCTATTTCTGTAGCTTCCAGCCATTAACTTCGAGAGTGCCCAAAATAGCATGACGAAGTCCGAGATGGCCATCAAGGCAGGTGGGCACAGAGCTCGAGGTCAGTGGCACGAGTCCACAGAAGCTGTTGAACTTGAAAATTTTAGGTAAGAAATCTCCCTGCCCTTCAGCAGCCTGTCCCAGCAGTTGGCCCATTTAAGTTTGTAACAAGTGCTACAATTTAAAAACTGTCTCAAAATTTACCTTGGAGATTCTTAGTTTAATAATTTGGTTAGTGCTTAAACCAGTCCCAGAAGCAATGCATTAATCACAAGCTTAATAGTCACAGGTGAAACTGAGCTGGGACACTGTGCTGGCATATATTTGGCATTTGTTCAATGAGGAAATGGTTACAGATTGTTGACCTGAATCAGTCGATGCCAAGCTTTGTCTTAGCTTTTGCTCTGTCTACAGTTTGCTGGTAATAAGAAGACAAAAGAATCTGTCGCGGTGAACAGATGTGGTGGGTAAAGAATGTGGTAGTCAAAACAACAGCAGTTTCCAGTTGCGAGGATAGCAGCTCACCTTTAACACTAAAAGTGTCAGTCCATGTTTATCTCGGTTGCCAGGTAGACCTTCTAGAAGCTACACATTCTCATGGGCCACTCCCCTTGGCTGAGCTGGTTCTCTCAGTTTTACAATGTTCCTGGGTCATCTGGCACCCAGTACCATGTAAATAATGAACGGGATGAAACATCAACATGAATATTCCAGAATGATCATTTACTTATTTGACCTAGTTGGTTTCTCTGTTATCTTATAAATGGAAATGGTCCAAAAATTTACATGACATTACCTAGGTTCATATTTTTAGAAATATATCTTTAATCAGAAATCCTAAATACTCATTCTTACATATTCAGTTCACCAGTATCCATGTACTAAGAAACTTTTACAGCCCTTACCTGGTCAGGAAGGGGACATGCAGGATAATGGCATCTGAAAGACAGCAAAGGCAGAATGGTTACTAGTGACAACAGAAGGTTGAAATGGTAAATTTCATTTGAAATTGGTAAATTTGAAATGGTAAATTCATGCAATTTCAGTTTATTCGGTCTACATCTTAAAACTGTTCTATTTTAACATGCACCAAAATATTATAGATTCCATAAAATGTGATCCTTTTGTGCATTATCTTTTATGCCCTCCTGGCTTTGATGTGGAATGTCTTGGGAGTATTTTTAAATCTCTTTAGTAGTATGCAACATAAGCAAAAAGAAATTGCAATTGGAATATCTCCAAATTTTATTAAACATACACAAAGCATAAACAATCAACAATCAGCAATCAGCACAGCTGAAAGAGTGCAGACTGGCTAAATCAAGCCATCAAGGCTTGAGGCGTGTAAACTGTCAATGAACCCCTATTATCTAGTAAGAAATGCAGGAGACAATCATTGATTTAACATGCAGAGCAACTAATGGGGTTGAGGGAGGTTGGAAAGAGAAGGGAGAGAATTCTTCTCTGTTTGTGGCACAGCTGTCTAGGTAATGGCCCCAGATATTCTTTCTCTCTGTGTATCCTTTCCTTTTCTTTCCTCCAACCAATTTTAGCTGGTAAATGTTTAAAGGTAATTACTTAATTAACAAGGTACAATGAGACACATATGATTGACTAATCTTTATTGTTTACAATTGAATTCTAGTTCCTATTTCAACAGTTGATACTTGCTTTTAGCAATATGTTGAACCTCAAGACGCCAACAATATTTGTCTGAAAATAGATGGTCTTTGCTTTGGTAGCATTGAGACAGCCTTAATTATTTTTATTGCAATATGCTTTTCTGTTTGTTTCATCACAGTATAAACTACAAGAATGAGAGAAATTTCAGCAAACATCCCCAGCATAAATTGTTTCAGGAGATCTTTACAGCCTTGGTAAAAAATAGACTTATATGCAGGTAAGAATGTTCCCCCCGAAAGCAGACTTTTACCCAAGAATGACATATTTCATATGTCTTATATGTGGAATATGATTTAAAGCAATTTACTAGATTGCGGACAAAATAGAGGAAAGGCTGTTTAGAAGGAGGAGAATGAGTAGGCGTTGCATTTGATCTCTCTAAAATCACTCTGGTTGGGTAGTGAATTTACATAAATTTGATGACAGGTAAGGTAAAGTAGGAAAACACTCAAGTTACATTGTTTTTCTTAATCTCTTCATTTTGAGTTTGGATACTCAAAAAGGAGTTCATTGTGTGGGTTCTTATGAAAGAGACATTGGGTAATACCATGGACGATGTTCTTCTCGGTATACTGTCATGGTTGACACGATGACTGCTTACATGGACTCCCCCAGCCTTGGCCTGAAGGAAAGAAAAGATGAGTGTGGAGCATCCAGTCACGGCCTCGTCAAGATATCTCTTCTCAGGATCACCCCAAATGTTCTTCCTTTTGCTCTGTGAACTGCCTTAACATAGATGCAGTGTTGGGGACTGCAGAGGAAGGCTTAGTTAACATGTATTCAGAATACATATATTGCATACATTGGGGGCTTCAGGTACTAGAGTACAGTTGGCATTTTAAGTTTTTATCCATTCTGAGAGGCTTCACTTGGGACCTGGGTATACTCCTGCTGTGCATGAAGGAGGCTCCCATGGTAGGACCCTGCCTTTTGCTCTTTCCAGAATGTCCAGGCTCTCTCCCAGCAGTACCAACTAAAAAGTTTCCAATAAAGATACTAAGATCCTAGTCATCCCTTTGGGACTTGATTGAGATATCTGAATTCTGTCGTAGTGAAAGGGGGGAAAACTACTATTATGAAAAATAAAATAAGAATGTTAATCATTTAATGCCTGAACCAAAATAATACCCTGACTTTGCCCAGTGCAATAGCTCATTTTTTTACCCCCAGTACCGGGGATCAAACTCAGGACCTTGCTCTTGCCATGTATGGTGGCACTGAGTTACATCCCCAGCTGCAATAGTTGATTTTAAACAGAAGACTATCCTGATGGACCCTTCATTGAGTGTCAAGTGCTAAATACCTGCCTAAGTGGTGACGTGATGACTTGTTTTTTTGAATGGGGTCATTTAATACTGCACAGATACTGCCAAATACCCTGGTTTAGTTTTAAACAATACAGGACTGGAACAGCATCTGTCATGCCTTTATATTTGGCTTAAGCTAAGTATATTAGGCTGGCTCAGATGATAAAAGAAACCTAAAATCTTTTCTCAAGTGTAATTGGGTTATTGCTCAGTTCTCGATGATACACATAAAGATCGTTGAAATATTAAGGAACATTGCAAAGAACTTGAAGGTGCCCTTGAATAATGATTAGCAGCAGAATAATTATATGTGAAATGATATCAGGAAGTAAAATTCTTTAATTTTTTTAGAAACAACTAACATGAACTCTTTAAAGGATATCCAGTAGGACAGTTGTCATTGGGCAGTTGGCACTTTGGGGAAGGCCCTAGATGCAGAAATTGTTAGAGAAAATAACTGGCCAAGGGTTGGCGTTAACTGGTTAAAGAAGATCTTAACAATTCTGAAGTTAAGGGATCTCTTATCCTAAGTGATTAATGGGACATCTTAGATCAGATAGAATTGCTTTTTTGTAATATGAGCAGTCCCTGGAAATCTTCAAACTGGGAAGAGATAATTGTAGACCTCCTTGCTTTCATAATACAAGAAGGAATTTAGGCATGCTGAGCATCAGGAGCATCCTTCTATGTCATCTTTTAGCTGCTGACAGATTGCTATGTTCACTTCTATTCTAAAAGCAGGGCTGGGTAAAAACTAAGGATAAAGGACTTCTATTGTCCCTCGCCTCATATAACCTTGCTATGATGGCCTCACTGTCTTTTTTTTTTTTCCCTTATGACTTTGAACTTATAGGAGAGTTAAAACTCAGGGCTTCTTCTGATATGGCTTCCTATCCTCTTTCTTTGTGAACATTAGATTTAGTGTTGGACAGGATGCTGAGATTCAGTTTCTTAAGGTGGTTAGGAGCTACTGTGTTCAAGGAAGGGAGGAAACAAATAGTGGAGAAGGATGAGAGGGTGAAAATACAAAGATGAATAGGACATGTGGTCCCTTTCTTCCTGAATACTCATAGCCTGCTCTGACCAGCAAATAAGTTATTCACTATCCCACTAAAAGGGAAAAGGTGGGAAATGCATACAATTTATATTAAAACAGTTAAAGGCTGAATGAGATTTTTTGGAGGGAGGTGGATCTTTGGTTCTTAGTCCAATTCTTGTTGTAGACAAGACTGGGAATGTTTAGGATATTATGATGCTTATTTACCCTAAAGATATGTCTTATTTGGAACACAGACTCAGACATAAAGCATGAGCCATTCCAGTTCCTGTCTCAGTTTTTGCTCACTGATGGTCAGGTTGTTGCTTCTCTTCTATCTCAGTCTCCCCAGCTGCAGTCTTCCCCTGATCCACACTTTTGGGCACCTCCTTCTAGGTTCTTTCTGAAGCCTGGCCTGTGATTACTCCTCCATTCTCAGAGACACTGCCAGGTGACATCTGAGACTAGACAGACTTGTTAATCCAGAGTCAGATAAGGTAACACTGCAAATACCTCATGGTAAATCTGAAAGGGCAAGGGAAAATGCTGTCCCTAAACCTAAGGTTACACAACACTGACTAATCTTGATGCGTGGCAGGATATGAAACATATTTTAATCTCCCAGCCTTTCCTTTTGTGATAACATCATTTGTCTATAGTAGAGTCTGACGTTAGAAAATAAATTCACCTCTCTTCATCTCATCTGGCTGAACAGGAAAATAAAAATGCTCAGTATCCAAGACCAGGTTGTTAGGAGATTATATAGGGAGGTAAAACTTGTCACAACATTGATATATTCTCTAATAACTGAGCACTTATACAACTGAACTCTACTCAAATGTCTCTTCTGTGTATCTGCTTTTCCTTGCTCCCTCTTTGTTGGTCTGTCTATTCTTTGCTGACTTAAAGATTCTGTAACACAGCAAGAATATAATTTACCTTGTGAAATCAACTATCACATCTGGCCAAAGATTAGAGGGTTTCATGAAGTTATTGAAAGTGATGGTGCTGAACTGGTGGAATCTGACAAATGAGGCTCTGGAGGAATTAGGCCACTTGACATTTGACGAAGAAGGTATTAATGGGGAAGATGACAAGATGGCACTGTAAGAGTATGTTTTGAATAACAAAATCAGGAGGGGCCTTTCGGCATGGGGTAAAAAACCCAAATCTTTCTAATATATTGACAGAAGCAAACCTTTTTGCAACAAAAGTGAATTAAATAATATTAGATCATGTTATATATTTTTTCAGAAAAAGCATGCCAGAATACTAGCAGAATTCATTCTAGCTTTGATCTAGTTACTAATGCGGTATAACTTAAATTTTGTTAAATGTAAGGTAATTATGTCTCAATTTCAGTTTTATTTTTTAAGGTATTATTTTAATCTTTCCCTCTACTCCTTAACATGGAATTTGGTGCATTCACTTATCTGGCCTTTCCTGGTACTATTGCGCTAGGAAAACCAGGCTCTCTCCCTCCTGCCATAACTTTTATAGAAGAGAGATTCCCCCAACTAGTCTCATTTTAATTAGAAGAGATGCGTGCATCCATTTGCTACAACGCTACCTGTCCAAAAATTCACTCACTTTTCCAAAAAGAACAAGTTGGCATCCTTATTATTTTGTATTCACTTTCCTGAACTACCTGCTCTTTACTTTAAACATTTTGGAAATGAGTCTGTAGGCTGTAAAGATGTGGAATATGTTTACGTGATGTAGAAGAGAGAACTTCTTGAGCTAAAAGAACCTATCTGGCCAAACCATGACAATCTTATTAGGGATTGTTAAAAAATTGTTCTGGGAACATTATAGATGCTTTTAACCAAGAGGAACAATACAGCATTTGGTTAACAATCAGCCCTTTGCTGTCCATGTCACCTCCTGGGCTAGATCATGATGCAGTGCCTCTTTTCCTTTTAGGCTTTACCTGGTCCCCTAGCCTTTCTTTTCCAGAGTTTGAGAATCTCTTTAGTCAAATGAATAAATTCAAGTTCTTGAAATACATGCAGTTTCTGGAGAGAGGCTTGTTCTGTGATTTCATCTCATCACAAAGTAGAGGAACCAGTCAAGTTTCTTCCTTGGCTAGGAGAGGAGATGCCTGGCCACAGTCACATGGTTGAGAATTCTGTAGGGAATAGGTCAAGTCAGCACCATGAAGTGGATACAGATAAAGTGGTTTTTTTTAAGGCCCTCAAAATCTGAAGCTTGTGCCTTTATGTACTTACAATCTTCCAATGGCTTGTTCCTCTACTGGTTCACAAAGCTCTTCAAGATCTTGTTCCTTCTTGGCCTTAGGGCCCAGTGAGCTCCTGGAAACCAAGACCTGGGTCTTTCATTCCAAATCAAGCCACAGATGCAGGGATCACCAGAGAATATCAAGACTGAGGTTCTTCACTTGGAATTTCTTTGCATTTAATTATTTGGATCACTTTTAAATTTTGAAAAATACAGAAAATTATAAAAAATAAAAATGTGTCCCTCTCATGTCGTGCTCAAGCAAATAATTGATTCCTTTTCTTCCTGTTACCTATCTTGGAACAAATTTCCAGCTCTTATACTTTTAATTTCTCGTGAAATGTCACTTAGGATTTAGCCCATATTTAAAATACGCACATGCAGATGCACACACACACACACACACATTCATGTGTGAAAACTCATAAAATCACAGTGATGTAATGGACTCTGAAGAAGATGCAGTCTCATTTGATAGATGAGGAACTGGAAGTTAAGGCCAAGGTCCAGAAGCAATGTTGGCTCATATGCTTTTCTCCTATGCCTTGCTAATTCTCCAATTTCTTTTTCTTTTCCATAAAAATATTTTTTTAAAACCACCCTAATTAGAAAATTATAAAACACCAATGAAAGTAT